GTTTAGATTTAATTGGCAAATGTCAATTAAACATTATCTCGGGTTCGTGTTCTCTTCGCCGCGTGAGAATCAACACGGGACTCAAATGTTTAGACCGCTAAAACCAGATGTTTAGTTTGCAGGGAACTTCAAATGTGGCACTCGGTTCAAGAAACCAATTAATGCGCCGCTCGTGTTCCCCCCTGGAGGTAAGTAAACTTTGCCCGAAAGTACTTGACCAAGACCAAGACTATCTTCCTTGTTTCAGCACAATACCACGCGTCTGAGGATTTAAACATTTGTAAGAATTCTGTCTAACTTCAACTAAAATTTGTATTACATTAACAATGCAGGAAAGAAAAAAAAGAGTACAATGTCTTATGATGGCAAAGCTTGACGCTACTCTTATTTTAGCGTCTGTAATTATTATAAGCTATTATAAACTATTTCAAACAACATAATTTAAAGAAACTCGCATATAATACAATTTGAGAACTAATTTATTCAAGTTTTAATATATAAATGCATAAATCACGTATACGTATTAAAGAGGATCAAACTGAATGCCACATAAAAGCACAGATTATTATCTGCGTTTCCTTTGATATAATTTTATACAGTCGCGTACATTTAGAAACGTCGGAATTTCGCGAATGCGTGGGCGCATGTGTACACATGCTTTCATAATGGCACGTGGTCGTCATAAAGCCAGTGCTCTATGTAAAAAAAATGTTGGCGTCACATTTTACAATATTGTACTTGCTAGCATGTTATTTTAAATGCAAAAATAATATCACGTCACTTGAAAAAAGTTTTTCGGAAAAAAATTGCAACCTCCTGTCAAATCGTTATAATTAAAAATTAAATTTAAAAAAATATTAAATTTTTTTACAATGTAAGTTTCTGTATGATATAGAAAGAGAAAGAGAGAAAGGGAGAAGCAATGTTTTATAAAATTTTAAATTAATTATAAACATACTTGCATATACAATAATTCTCGAAATTGATCAAATATACTACACAATAATTATCCACATATTTATAAATATAAAAAATTAGATTATTAAATACTGTTCCGTAGCCTAATCTGAATTTAGTTTAAGATAAATTTGATTAATTTTGTTTAATCGAAACGTTTTAAAATGGAAATATTGTTACTTGAATTCTAATTGACAAAAAATGCTTCAATCTGAAATATACTTTTACAATTGTATGTTATAACAATAAATTTTAATTTAATTATGTAAATAATTAATTAACTAAATACTCTCGATTCTAAAATTCAATTAATTTACCGAAATTATTAAAATATTAAAATTAATGAGTAACAAAAAGAAGTGGGCTTTGAGAATCAAAGGTTAGTTGTGCGTTAACGCTATATAACATTTAATGTAATAATTTAATACAAATTATAAATCGTCGATTTAGCTCTACTTTAAACCATCTTTAGCGACGAGATGATAAACAAATTAAATTATCTTAAATTCGAGTACTGAAAACATGTATTAAAAAACATCATTTTTTACAAGAGTTCCCGATAGTTCTATTCCAGTTTTACACAGATATACAATTTCAGATCAATATTTCATGAATTAACAATTTTTAAACAATTTTTTATATCCGCGCTCAGCAAAACATTTAGTAAAAATATGTGCCGTGCTGATGTTTTTTCGCAGTTTTAAAGGTAGTACTCGATAGAATTCTATAATAGTTAATTTTTAAAACTTGTTTAAAAAATAGTTACTCACCGGAACTCTTTTTAGAACTACTTCTAAAGCACAGAACTCTTGTAGAACTGTCGAAAACAACAAGTTAAAATTGCGAAAAGTCATCAGCACGACATATTTTCAATAAATGTCGTGCTGAGTGCGGATATAAAAACTATTAATTGGTGGAATATTGATCTAAAATTGTAATAATTGTATACATATATGTATGTGTCGAACTCGATTAAAACTATCGAAATTAACTTTTGTCAAAAATAATAATGTTCAATGCGTTTTGATACGTTAAAGGGAAGGATGTCATGCTAGAGTCGCGAAGTTAGTACATCTTTTCAATTTCGATTTTTTAATATAAGGAATGCGGAACTCTTTTTAACGTTCTTCAGGAACTGTAGACCTATTAAAAGTGCTATTTAAAACTTTTAGTATTTTTTTTAAATTCGTAGAATGTCGTGCCAACTTTACAGACCCCGATCTATATTTTGTATTAAATTATTAATTAAATGTTATAGCATTAACTCACGCACAATTAATTGCATTTGACTCTCAAAGGCCACTTTTCCTTGTCACACATATTTTAATTATTATATATGCAAAAAATTTAATTTTTTCTTTGAATAATTTAAAATTAAAATAAATTATGTTATTTAAAATTTATTAGATGTATTACTTGGGAAATACAATTTGGATTTTTCTTAGAATTTTTCAATAGAAATTAGAAACGCGATTATATACGGATCCACGATTACCACATTTTACTTTTAAAAGCAAGCACGCGGAATTTATTTTCCTCTTTTCATTCAAGTGAAATGTCAAATCCATGACGAAACGAGGAAACACAATGGCACAGATTTGAGGGAAAATAGAATGAGAGGTATATCTAGGAAGGAACACACGGAGTCGAGACACGAAGTGCCAGCGAGCGTTACTTGCGAATTTAATTCTAGCTTTACAAATCCTGAGCATGCTGTAGACAATTACGAGATAATTGTTAATACGACTTGCAATTTGCACTACGGCCGGTGCCGCGCCTCGTTTAAACTCTCGTGTGCTTAATTAGTTCCTATTTTGTCTGTGAAGCGTTACGAGTTGCATATCTCGACGCATAGAGCTGCGCTTCGCGTTCGAGTGCGTCTGAGGACGTCCTTTAATACTACCCTCGCTACTTTTACAAGGGTCGTTTTTCTCAATTTATATTTCTAGTCATGCTCTTCTAACATCAAAACAGCGTGTGTAAAGCTTGTGCCTCTTTCATAATTTGTAACAAACTTTAAAACGATCGGGGGAAAGTTTCAAGTTTAAAAATTAAATTTGCTAATAAATGTTTTACCATAAACGAGGGAGCAAAAGAATTTAATCGTACACGTTACATATTTTACATATAAAATTATTTATAACTCTCTCCAACTTTATTAATACAGTTAAAACTTAACTGTGTAATTAAAAAAAGATAGGTATAGGTACAACAATTAACATTTTTATATGAATTTGAGATATACAGTAATTGAGAGAGAAAGAGAGAGAGAGAGAGAGAGAGAGAGAGAGTTATTTTAGAAAAAGAATTTTAATATCTAATGATACATTTTAGCTTTATTATGATACCACAGTAGCCGAATTAGAGTTTCTATACTAGTATAACTTGCTCCGGTCTCTGTGATGTCTATTTTTAATAGGGACCAACGCTCGAATTGTCTCAGGAGCTCTAAATGTATCTTCGCGGTAGTTAACCTCTCATATACAACGTATGCCATAGATTTTGTCGCTAAATTGTTCGAAAATATTATTCTCTCGTAATTAAATAACCTAAATTTGATATATGTATAAAAATACTGACATGTTATTAAAGTTCATATATATATATATATATATATATATATATATATATACTGCACCAACACAGTCGTTTCAATGAAGTTGAAACAGTTCTAACAGTTACAATGTCAACAGCGAAACTAATCTACAATATATAGAAACAAATATCCTGACTGACTGACTCATCAACGCCCAGCCTAAAATAGAAGCATGAAATTCGAGGAATATATTCCATCAATAACGTAAGCACCCTGCACTAAAAAGAGATTTTTAAAAATTCTATTCCTAAGGAGGTGAAGAAGGGTAAAATATGCAATGTGTTACCCTAAGCAAAGCACGAGTATCTAGTTTGTAATAAAATAATAACTCATTTATATTTTATATTAAGAAATAAACTAGCTTGGTAAAATATCATCAATTATTGCCCGTGTTATTAGGTAATAACTAAATTGTTGTTAAGCAGAATATTGAAAATAATGTATGTGTTTTTTGTAAATGTAAAGTTTGACATGATGCTGTGAATTCTTCGCGCAACACAAAGTGTTATTGCTTATTTCGTTCCATCGCAGCGACTTTCTCATTATAAAGTTGAAGTACGGCAGACATCGCGAACGACATTAAACTAATCTTTAAAAGATGGAGACGACAGCGCCCTAGGCGGACGGGAAAGATTTGTGGGAAAAGTTTTGCAAAATTGAGACCACGCGAGGCTTGATGAGCGCCATGATTTATGCTCTTCATTTCTCAGGTGAGACCGCGAGACCCTATATTAAAGAACGACTGTAGAAAAGTTTCACTCTCCCGCGTTCTGCATCCGCGCGCAGAAATCATATTGTCGTTACGCCTGACGTTGTTGACGACGGTACGTAATAGCGCGATTTGTGAGTTACCCACTAACGAGAAGCGATCGATTTTTTTTGCGACAGGTCAAATAAGAATATTTTGCATAACATTTATCAAATTTTCTACCAAAGATTTAGTTAGTAACTAATATCTTTAACAAGAAAACAAAATTTACATTATTTAGTTGTAATTTTTATTTTAATTGTAAAGAAAATAAAAAAATTAATTTTATCTGTAAAAGAATGATATAAAACGTATGTAAATTATTAAATATATGCATATATAATTAAACATATTTGTTAAGAATCAACATATGATATGTTGTCTATTAAAAATCAATCTTACAATGAATGTAGATTTATAAGACTCAAACAGACAAATTTTTGTATACCATATAAGCGATCGATAGCTTTATATTCGCAATTATAAACTTATCATAATTCACCTATTATTTTTTACGAAATATATCTATTCCATAATGAGAGAACTAACTATATTTCTTAAATAGTCCATAACTGTACGCATTACGCTATTTCTTGGAAGAAAGGAACATTCCGTAAACCACTTAAAGATCTGTGTCATAAAGATCGGACAGAAAGCTGCGACATATACATATATATGAAGAAGATCGTCGATACTCACCGGTGAAAATAGCGCCGGGCAGCAATGCACAGATGCTCAAGTACACCAGCAATACTCCGCGAGCTTGACGCACCTTTTGGCAACAGTCCAGCTTTTTCCCGCTCGGTAGGCCACCACCGATTCTTCTTGGCCCCCTCATCGTGCCGCATAGTTTTCGTTCCGACCACGTAAACCACGCGCGTTACACTCGGATTAGAGCGAGAGAAGTTTAATAATGCCTCACGTGCCTTCCTTCCTTCCTTCCTTCCTGCTTCCTTCCTTCCTTCCTTCCTTCCACTTTCGGTTCTCGTACACGTGACGCGAGATTTCGTAACGATCTTAACGCGCGTGCCGCGGATGCGAACTACATTCATTAATAGGACGCGATTGCATCGGGCGCGGCGAGTTGCATTGTGTGCGCGCGGCCGACTTGCGAACGACAGTTGCGTTGAAACGACCTCTCTTTTTCACAATACGGGGTTATTTTATCGCAGCATTTTTATTTTGTGTTATATATATACGGGGAAATTTCACTCGTAAACGAATCCGATGAAATTTCGGTGATTGAAGTTATATCACCGAAAAACTAGTTTCCACTCCACACACGAAAGTCGTTTCTTCCTTGTGGCAACATTCTGTATCTAGATATTGGATACGCAGTCAGAATAGGCAATTAGAAGTAATTATAAAAATAAGCATAATTGATTGTATCAAACATTTGCTCTGTTCAACGATAAATTTATATGTAAGCAGTCACTTTGTTTACGTATTTTTATATAATTATCTTACCAATTGTGTCTTTTTTCACTTATTCCATATGGTAGTTATATTATAATTAAGCCTTATTGTTCCTTTATGTAGAAATGCTTCAATATTCTGCTTGGTAATTCTTATATTTTCAATAAAGTTCTTGAAAAAATAGATATCCTTTCTAATACCTATAGTAATTTACAATTGCGCGTGCTTGTCTTTAGTTTCACTCGCAGTTAAGAGGAACCGTCAGATTTCAACATAAAAAAGCTGCAGTTTTTTAAACCGCAAGTTAACATAATTATATTCAAAACGTTAAGTTTTGAAAAAGTTAACTTTCTTCAAATTCATTCTTTGACCGCATAATAAATATTACTAGTCTAAAATTATTAATATTAGAAATATTTTTATTTATAACATAAGAAATCAACGTTCTTCATAAACGTTGATTTTACTATAACAACTCGACAAATTAATGGATAATAAACTTTGTGTAGCACATTCAAAGTATAATGCGAATTGAGATAGAACTGGGGAACGCAGGCGTTATCATCGCGGAAGATTGAAACTCGTCGGTGCGGCGCGACGATGCGGAGAGACGACAAGATGCGTGGAATGTGGCACAAGTTGCCGTACACTTTTCGCCGCGATAACTAATTAACGAACTTCCGTCTCGCTATAGTACCTGGAACCGCATCATTAATGCTAAATTTAACGCGCTGTCACTCAGCCAGCGTAGTAAGACCTGGCAGCATGATAAATGGGATCCGTTTATGCGATTTCAGCATGCCCCTGGCGTTTGATACTAAGATTCGGATACGATGTATTATACTGCGCGCCCATGCGAATGCATTACGTTTGTCATAAATTTTGGCAGTTAATTTTCGCGATTATTCGCGTTCCGCGCAATAAAATGGATCAGCATCGGAGTTAAATGGCGGTGAAACGACCATCTTAATTTCTGCGTGCACTGTACCATCATTACGAATGGATGTAGCGGTAATTTACAGTGCACGGCGGAGTAATCTTTCAGTTATTCTGTTTACAATTACAAGGATAATCAAAGACGACAAAGAGATCCGTGGAATTTCTAAGAAACCTGTGTGTGTTAAACTCATTCTTCAAGGAAGTTGCATGCATCTGTGGATAAAACCTAGAAATATTTGAAAACTAAAAATTCCATCCGCGTTTCAAGCCACGAGTACACGAAACCTACTGTTTTAAGTAAATGACTGAATTAATTTATGATGACTAAAAATTATTTGAAGGAGAGAAAGAAAATGAGAGCAATGTTTGTTTCATCAAAAAGTGTCTCACGCACGGTTCTTTATAATAGGGAGACTACGAGGACATTTTCAATTTGTGACAAGAGTTGGCTAAGTTTAACTTAAATTAGATAGAATGGATGAATCAGCCCGATGATGGCGGTTTCTGTTTCTAGTAAAGATCATAAATTTATTTTTACTGCACGATATTTATAACGCGACTTTGTCGTACATATACCGAAATAAGTGACTTTTACTTATTTTTTATAATTCCGTAATTTTTTCTCTCTTTTTTTCGTAAGTAATATATATAATCTTTTATATAAATAATTAATTTATTTATCAATATAATGAGATTATAATACTACGTTCAAAAAATCCAATTGCTCGATTGGAGTCTAAGCGCTTAAATATAGTCTAGACAAACACATGCAATATGCGCTTGAATATTTGTCCATTCAGAACAATTTTAATTTTGTGAACAATAATACAAGTCTTTCATAATCGATAATGTCAAACATAAATTAAAATTAAGCAATCCTTTAATTCGATCAATAATTCCAATCTGATAATGCTATGAGCATTAAAATTTTGTTCAGTTTTAATTAAAATGTTTAGCTATTTCGATATGGTCCCGGACGAATCAGTGCGTTTCCCGGGGCCCCCTCTCCAACGTGAAAAACGCGCCGCGAAGGACACCTGCGGGTTTTAGTCGGTAAGAATCCGACACTCCCCTCGCCACGCTCCCGGAAGCGGGGGGGGGATCTTCCCCCTCTTATAGCGATGGGGCTACCGGTCAGTACTGGCCAGTATATAGTAGAAGATTTCCCCGCGTTAAAAAAAAAGCTATTTCGATATTCAGTAACGACACCGCTGAATTTTATCCGCATATAGGTTAATTGAGGGCAGGTGGATCGTGGAAGCTTCCATCTCCAACTATTTTTCAAAACAACCTCGTTAATTTCCATCTAAAAGTCTCGATTTTCCGCTAATGAACACATTTCTGGTCATAAAGACATTGATTTCCGGCACAAAAAGCGACGAAGTTACGCGTTGCAAGATCAAATTGCTCCCGTTTCGAATTAAACCGTATCTAGATAATGACATTCCGCCGTTAATTAATTCGTCAGTGGGCTTTGTACCGGCACGTCGGCATCATTATTATGGTCATTGTCGTCTTCGAGGTCTTCGAGGTATCTCCACGTGTCGGCGGTTTCAAGAAATTATTATCTATCACAGCGTGGAAGAGGAAACGTTGTCTTTGTGGCGAGAATTAAATTAAACGTATCGAAATGCGATACAATGGAATTTATTTCGCGCACGGTCGCCATAAAGCGTGACTATTCTCGCATCTTCACTGGAATGGACATAAATAAGAAGTTCATAAAATAAAATTTTTACTCTAAATTTTTACCTTATTCTCATACTTTCAAAAATGTCTTATAAATAACGTATGCCATCATGTGTATAGATAGAAAAGATTCATAAATAAAATAATCTCGATGTTAATCGAAAATAGTGAGCAACTTCGTGAAAAATTATTTCAAACATTAATTTCGGTAGATCGCATCTGTTATTGATGAAAATGCTAAATGTTATTCCGCCATGAATTGCACATCCGATTGTGTTGCCTTCAAATTGATCATTTTAACGGAAAATTCGGGGACACGCAGTCATAAAAAGCATACTGGTTTGAAAATATCACGGCGTGATTTTACGAGGGACGTGTCGAACCATGAAATGTGCATAAAATGACGAATCCAATATGGCACGAGAAATCGGGGTGATAAAATACTGTTATTTATAAACATATTAAAATAAATGCATAATTATTGATTTTTGACTGCCTTATTAAAATTAATTTTGCTTACAACGTAAATCATTTTATAAAATTATAAAAGTTATGTAAATAAATTTTGATAAAAAAATAAAAATCACGAAAAATCATCACACACTTGTGGTAAAATTAAAACATTTAATGTTTGTTAATTGTTCTGATTAATTTCGTTATAAATCAAAAATAGTACGAATGCCCTAAAAATAAATTTACAAAGATAAATAAGGAATTTTTTTATACTCTACAACTACATATCTTTCTATCCAAAAATATTGTTACAAATAATATGTTTACATCAAACTGGTATTGTGTTTCCAAAACAGCACGCCAAAAATAAAATTCATAAACCAATGCGGATTTTACATATCTGTATATAACTTGAAAGTTTACGTCGCAAATTAGTGAAATGACTGCAACAAAACACCGAGCTGTCTGTATAAAAATAATATTTCTAGTTTGTAAACGTGGACGACCGCTACACCTAACCCCTCATTCTGGATATCTCTCTTTTATTAAAATAAAATCTGTAAAATCATATGTGGTTGCAAAATCTGCAATTTTATAAGACTATCAATATATTTCTACTTCACGATTATTGTTCAAAATAATGTCAAAAATAAAGACATTTTTCAAATGTGATATATACCGATTAATTTAAAAGATTGACTTTCCTATAATAAGAACTTACTTAATGTTATTTCCATTATTTTTCGTAAACTATTAGAATTGCGTCCAGAAAGCCGGTGCATATATCTTTAAACACAGTGTGTGTGTGTGTGTGTGTGTGTGTGTGTGTGTGTGTGTGTGTGTGTTATGCACGAATCGCACCAGGTTAGTTTTAAGATGCATCGCGATGCAGACACAAAGGGTTAGACGTCGACTCCGCGGACAATGACAATGCTGATGCAAGACGGCAGGCACAAATTATCCCTGGGAGGTATTATTAATTAATGCCCTTGTTAAGCTACGGAGCTTGATGAGGAACGAGGGCGAAGAAGCGAGAGATGCGGGTTGGAGATAGCGACCGAGTGTATTGCACAGGTGCACTCGGTGGGATATAAAACTGGGAACACGTAAAACGCGTTTGTGTATGACATACACATGTGTGCGCATACGATAACACGGCGTGAATGTACGACATGCGGCGGTACGAGCACGCTGGGAATAACGAAATTTTCTGGACGGGACGAATTAAAATTCAAACACTTATATGACATCGTCGAGAGAGAGAACACTCGTGTGAATGAAAAGAGGGGGGGAAAAAATAACGTCGAAAAATAATTTTCGTGGAAAAGCAACGTGGGTAAGCAAAACGGAATTTTCTCAAGGATTAAGAGAATGGACTTTAAGTTAGAAGAAAATGAAAATATACACAGAGGATGTGACGCGTAGTATAATCGTAGTAAATGAAATAATAGAGCTTGCAAAAATAAATCGAAAACGTAAAATAAAATTTTCTATTCGAGAGATAACTAAAAAAATGAAAAAAACTAATAATACTTTTCGCTCTTTTTTTATGAATTTGTATATTCTAAATCTAAACTACATGAATTTTGCATTGAATGTCACACAAAGCCTTTTGTTTTGAAAATATAATTTAATCTTATTCCGTTTTATTTTTTCTCATCTCAAAGGTAAATTTCTTTTTCAGTTTTAAGTTTAAAACTAGTTTTCACAAAACCATTAAAAATGACAAAAATTGTGAGGCTTCACAAACCTTATACGATATATATATCGTGCGTTATTTATATCACACGTATTCCCAAGAACATGCACGATTGTCTCTCAACAACGTTACTGTCTTTTCCTCTCCCTCGTCACCGACATAAGAGAGTGTGTAAAGTCTTTCCCATCCCGCATACGTAATTACTGAAGTTAATTAGAATTTTGAAGTTGAAAGAGAGAAAGTAAAAGAGACGCGGGCCTTAATCGAGAAAGGGAAACGGAGCTGACGACACATTTAAGAATGTATTAGCTTCAAGAAAGCGCCGGAGCTTGAAATGACATTAAAACGTCGCGTCGCGAGCCGCTCGTACCGACAAATACGGCGACGAAAAAAGGCTCGACGAAATTCTAGTGGAATAATTTTAGCATCAGCACAATCCGGACGAACCTGCTCTTCTTCGAAAGGACAAAATTTTCGACATTCGTTCGAGGTTTTGTCCTTAGCGGCGGCAGGAAACGGCGCAATTTTGTGACTCGGAGAATGGAAAAGTCAATGTTGTCGACAATATATCAATTTACCTATTTCACTTTGCAGCATCAAAATTTCCATCGAGGATTTCATGTTCGGACACTTTCTTTTGTGAGCATTTTGAATTTTTGTTGGAATTGTGATGTGCTCTTGCAAAACGAGTAAAATTAAGAAACGCATGAAATGAAAGAGAATAAATTAAGACGAAGCCACTTTCCTCCAAAATTCAACGAAACCAAACATGCTCGTGGAAAAGAATCCGGGACAAAAAATAAGAAACTATTAATACAATTTGTCAATTTAATGCATGTTTAAAACTTTAATTTTCAGTCAGTTTTTATTGTTAGTTATTTTATTATAAAACTTATTTAATCTGCTTTATTTAATAAAATACCTATTTATTTAATAAAATTATTTATAGTTATTTTTTAAGCCTTTCTCTCTCTCTTTCTCTTTCTCTCTCTTAATCAAATGCTCATTAAAATATTACGCGTTCTTGAGCGTCACGTTTCATGTACGCAGCAATTTGCCTGACAGTTTTATAGAAATACTATTTTGGGAGTAAACAATGTATCTATCTTCACCGTCCTCGGACTCTCGTCGAGCTATCGCGCTTTCAACTATCCACCAACTCCCCCTCGAGTCCTCGTGCAATTGGTTTTTCGTGTTCCAAGCACTTCGCTGTCCTCGAAATCCTAATTTCTCGTTTTTCACTCCCTCACTCCGCCCGCCGCACCACCGTCATCTGATGGAGCGAGGCGGTTCTCCGATGGTTGCGATGCCCGCAGAATCTCGTCGTTGCGTTTCGCTTGATTTTCAGGTTTGTGACGGAGGGATGTACGGAAAATGGGAGCAGATTGTGGTATCTGTGTAAACAGGTCGGAGCTATGCGTACTGTGACAGTTTTTATTTGCCTCTGGTGTTCTGGTTCGGCTCCCTCCTCTTCTCCACGTATTTTAAAATGGGTCGTGTTGTAATCTTGTTATTTCGGATTTAATTACCGTCGTAGAAATACACCTACATTTCTATCTCCATTATTTCTTTTTATTTTTATCACTCGATCATGTTATCGTATATAATATTTATTTAATATCGTCACACAAATAATTTATTATATAAAAATAATTTTTGTAAAGTTAAAATTTTAGCTGTGTTCTTTTTTATATTACTTATCAAATTATGCAATTTTTATGATATTATCGTTGTTTTATCTTTTTATAATTTTAAATTACTTTCTTGAGAAATTATTTATCAAACAGATTAGAAGTAACTGCACTCTCACTTATATATCCATTCATGACCTTATTAAAAATCTATATTAATATAACAATAATCAAAAACTATAATCAAATCGTCATTTTGTGATTCACCTTAATTTGCACATGCGTTTACGCGTTATCATCGAGATCTCTCGCGACATCACCGTGGAGACGATCGAGCTAGATCGGAGCCGGCACACGTGATACCCGGACCGGTCTGTGAGACGCACTAAATCGTCAAGCTCCGTCTACAGTGCGCTACGCGCGGTCCCTCTAACAATAAACTTAGGTAAGCCGACGAATACGACGGCGACGTATAATGTGCACACACGCGTGTCGGCCACGCGTGACAAACCAGTCGCACGTACTGTGGGTGCGTGAGCCGCACTAGCCGCGCGTGGTGCGAGACCCACGGAGACGATCCACTCGAGACGAAGTTCCGTCAGTGTGCGTGGCTCACGACGACGATCGTCGTGAATTGTCGTCTGTCGAGGCGTACACGTGTGTGTAAGTGCGAGCGAGTGAAATCCACGAGGGTGTGGAGGGGCCAATTGCCTTCCTCGTTGCGCCGCCACGATATTGTGGTGGTGCAAGCACTTGTCCCTCATGAATTTGGAGCTCACACGAAGATACGCGCCGAGTGTGCAGCGGGGAACTCGATAATCTACGTGCGCGGGGAGCCCGCATTGTAGGCATCGCGGCGCGGCGCCGAAATGTGATATAGCAAATCGTGTTAAAATTGTAAGGGGAAATACGGAGGAAGTAAAGGGTTAAGCGATGTAAGTGATAACGCGTTGCATAGATTAACGTGGATTGTCGAAACGTGTGTTACTCCGATACTGTATATTTCCCAAAATGACTATGCTCCTCGAGATATTCAGTAACTGAATACGAGACGTGTAAATCGGTTAAGGTTGAAATACAATTTTACCGACTAGTCATGTGTAACGGCAAAAATAAAATTCTTATACAACTCATTGCCAGATGTGATATAACAAGTAAATTTTCCTAATAGATTTTAAGGTAAATGTATACCAACTTAAGACCTATGTCTGGACACTTTTATCATTTTATTTTTCAAATAAATATAACGCAATTTAAAAGATAAAAATATAATACAAGAAAAATATTTTTATCTTTGATTCTTTGATTTCAATTCGCGTTATAACTTATTTAAGAATAAAATGATAAATGTCCAGACATAAGTACGTGTCCAGGCATTGGTATTATACATTTACCCTTATATCTCAATCATTTATAAGGGAATTGAAGCATTTGCAGTATATGTATATCTGTTTGGAGAACGAATCATAGATCAAATGTGCACCATTTGGAACATGCAGATGCTACTAGTCAAAATGCGAACGCGATCAGTAGATGATAATTAGCTATGCAAACTTAGCTGTTTACGAGGCTGTTTATCACAAGTACAATAGGAAAACAGTGCACAAATGTATTAATATTATTCCGCATCATGTTATTCCAAGATATTGTGGGCAGATATTGCAATTATCCATAAAATGTAATTTATAATTATAATCTTGGCACATAACTATAATTTATATAATTTCATGGTAAATCCATTCAACTAAATATGTCTTACTCTTAATTTTGATAATCTTTATAGTTTTATTAATTATACTTTGATAGTTTTCTTTACAAAATTCACTAGTCTTTACAAATCAAAAATATTTAATTCGATATTTTGACTTGAAATTATTTTTTAAAATAAGCTTTACAAATTCTACAATTTCGTTATTACCGAATACGATATCACAGGCTTATAATTTGACTAGTCTGTTATCGTCGTTGACGAGGCTAATATACTAACGATGCAATAGTATTATAATTGTGAATGGCCAGAAAATGCAGGATCAAAAATATTTTGTTAGCGGTGATGAACGCGCGGCAATCAACGATGAATTTGGCATTGTGTCTCGCTTAATCACATAAATCGCTCATATAACGGACGGCTCGTCAATTCGAGGCGAACAGCGTTAAAGGGTTAAGTAGGGGGCGAAATCTGCGCACAGTGAACTCCGCTTATCAGGCAACAACGTAGTAACGCCGCGCGTATCACGACCGCGCGCGGGGGAATTCGCGACCGGTTCATCGACGCGACCCGCGCGCAAAAGCGCAGCATCCGAGCGTGCATATCTCCCGCGATCGATCGTTCCGGCGTTGCGCGCCGCTAACCACGAATGCACACAGAATTTGCGATCCATTGCGTTGAACGTGTGCTCTCCCCTTCTAATCATACGGCGGCGCGTATAGCAGCAAACGGGACACGGATTTCACGTCTTATGCTCTTGGAACGTGCACACGCGAACAGAGAGAGAGAGAGAGAGACGCACGCGCGAGGAACTTCTGCACGTAGGAAAATTTTATTAAGCGAGCCACTCGAGCTTTGCGCGAAGCTGCCGTACGTGGGGAAATTTAAATTTCCAACACGATCCACCCTCCGACCGCGAGAAAGGAGCCTGTAGGTATCTTGACATTTTGTTAACTTCTTTTCGAGTTTGCTCGGCATATACTTTTTAATAATAATAATTTCCCTGTTGCTTCTCGCTCTACTTGTACCTCTTAATTCTCGTGATTAGCTAATTAATTAATTTCTTATTTACATCGTATTTGCTCTTTAGAAAGACATGTTCGCATTGCATGTTTTATATTTAATTTAAATATCGTTGTTTTTCGCGATTGTTCTGATTAATGCTTACTGCGGTAACAGTTATAGATATATATAGATATATTTTAACAGATCGTAACGTGGAATATTCCGCGCGTCAACTATCGAGCGACGCGCAGAGAGCGTGACATCGCACTCGCGCAATAAAATCGTAGTACGACATACGGGGACAGCGCGACGCATCTATTAACAGCGTTTCGCGAACAACATTACTTTCGGCACGCAACATTACCCGTTACACGCATCATAACAGTATCCTGACTCTCTATGCTCGGTCCATTCCGCGGCGATCCGTGAAGCCTGTTAATCCACGCGACGATCCGTACGAAAGCCCGTTGCGCGCAGATCCGCGAGTACGAGATCGTGCCGCCCTTTTCCAGTTTGCGTGAATCATGATTTCAGAATGAGACCGCCACCCTATTCAGGTATCACTATCACTGAGCGCGCGTAACATTATGTAATAAAAAGTCGGCAGATTAACATAAATTATAAAAATATTTTCTAGGCTCTAGTCTATCCATTTCCGAGCTTGTCCATTTCAAGGGAATAGATTATAATATATTAATTTATTTGTAACATTTTTCTATTGCTGATCTTTAATGTTTTAATTTTTTCTGCAATAACTGTAAAAATAATTAATATATTCGGATATTTAATATATTCGGATAAGATTAAATAATACAGACACTTTACCGCTACATTAGTTATCATTTTAAATAAAAATTTTGATATAACGTCTAATAATCGTTAGAAAATGACTGTTCGTGATTCTTTCATAATATCTCATATCTCATATACATACATTTTATTTACGTTTGTAATATAATTTTTACAACTCTTATAGAAATTTAATATTGTAAGTGATTATTTGGCTAGTGATTAATTATTTATTTCGAGTATTATAATAATACTCGAAATAAGTAATTAATCACTAGCCAAATAATCACTTACAGTATTAAATTTCTGTAAGGGAAATCCATTGCCTTGACATTAAAAATAAAAAAATAACTCACCGACCGACGACCAACAGCGGAGATGTAACCCTGCGTTTATCTGTAACATATAAATATTTTTACATCAGAGCAATGTCCAAGGTAATCAATACTTAAAGTAAATAATGATCGCGCTCGTTAAACTTTTAAAACGTTATTTTAACATTGATTTAAAAATGCTAATACAAAAAAAACAATCGCGGCTGCATATTTCCGTATTAACTCGTACACATAATTAACTCGTGAAAAATCGTTCAAGTAACATTACGACCATGTGAATAAGAGAGACGCGACGTTCGAGACGTAACATTTCTTCTCGCATATGCCGGAGATCGAACTCCGGCGAAATTGCGCCGGAATTAACCTTGAATGGTATTGTACGCGGAATAATAAGTGTATCATGTAATGTGGGCGAATCAAGTCGCGCTTGAAAAAGTTGCGGAAAAGGTCCTTCACAGGACAGCAAAATAATAAACGAGAAACAATTACTCACCCCATGGTCGCTCCGCCGTCACCCGATGCCTCCCAGGCCCCCTCCTCCTCTCCTCGATTCTCCTACGTTGTTGCATCTCCATTGACGCACTCACTCACGACGCGGCAACGTTCACGCGCGAAAATATCGACACTTTGCACGTCACTCCCGAATTCCGGTATTAATTTCGACGGAAGAATTACGGCGAAGAAGCTACGAACGAAACTATACGATCCGTTCGACACCCGTGACGCTTGACGTCCCGCAGCTCGCCCGCAGGTAGACGCTAACATGGCGGAGAGAATTCGCGGTAAATCACGCGGCCAACTTCACTCTCCAGGAGCAACCGTCACGTCGCGTCGCGAGGACGCTACACACCTGCTGCTCCCACACTTATACTTTTCGCACTTTGAACAACAAATATAATGTCAAGATTACTTTTACGTATTGCAATATAAGACACGTAAGAGAAATAAATGTATGAATTAGGGCCCGGGCACAATTGGGAGAGGCCTAGGTCCGACTCGGACTGTTGCGCTATTAAAAAAAAAAATAATAATAATAATAATTGTTAGGCTATTTCGTGGCTATTTCTCTTTGACTTTAAAGTTTAAAGTCAAAGAGAAATAGCTACAAAATGGCCGAACA